TTTCTTTGCCTACGCCCCGAATCTTCTTTCTCAAATTCAGAAGAAAGCAAAGTCAAAGAAAGCAATTCAGAGACAAAGACACTAAACAAATGTTTTAAGTCTAACATTGAATCTATTCCTCATCCTCCTAAAACACCAGCAGAAAAGAAATGTTCTGCTCTTGTTTCTCACTGTTTAAATTCTCTCACTGAGTTCGTGGATAACATGTCCTTCTTAGATTCCCTTTTAGCTGATGGAAGGGAACAAAAGGAACTTGGTAAACATGACTTTAGTTGGACAAATGGAAAGGTTAAAAGTGGACTTTCTGATGAATTTAGCCTTGAAAGCAGTGATAGATGGACTTCTCAAAGCTCTGGAGAATTAAAGGCAGCTGTAGAAGCTCTCAGTTTTAATAAGTGTTCTTCTTCTATTTCAAAAGCATTGGAAACCTTGAATTCTTGTAAGAAATTAGGCAGAGATCCAATGAAAGACCTTACCTTTTATGTTTCACAAAAGCGCAACAATGTGTACTTTAATCAGTCTGCAGCTAATTCAGAGTAAGTCTTACTTTTATTTATTTATTTATATTTCCATAGTAAATGGTAAAGGGGAAATTGTTCAGTTCTTACTAATTTTGAAATGCTGGGTTTTATTGATCTTGGAAAGCCCTTGATATTAATAATGTAGCTCCTAATGAGACATTTGTGGAGAATACCCTGGATGCTAGGAAGAAAAATAGTGGGAGATTGGGGTGGGTTTGATTTGGGAGACTCTTGAATGACAGGGAAAGGGATTTGGATTTGCTGTGACAGGTAACAGGTAGGCATTGATGATGTTTCAGTATGGGAGTGGTTGATGGGTTGAAAATAATGCAGGACATTAAATCTGGAATCCAGTTTATCCAGTTTAGATCAGAAGCAGGAAAAAGCAGACCAGAAGCTGGTTGTATTGGGGATTGTTGCATTTTAATTGGGCATTAAAAATAAAAAAGTAATGCATTGCTTTTCATTCACAGCTGTGCTTGGAAGAGGGTAGCAGTCATTAAAAGTGTATTTTCTAGCCGATCTCTTCTCAACCTGGGCAATAGACAAGCTAGTATAACTGAATACCTGCCAACTCTTCGAAACATTTGTACGACTGAGAAACTAAAAGAACAAGGAAAAAGTAAAAGAAGGTAAAGGCTCTACCTCTGAACCGCAGGCCGACGCTCTAACCACTGAGCAAAGCTGGCCAGGGCGGTAAAGGCTCTATAAAAGTAACATTTTAGATAGCTATTTCAAGATTAGTATTTTTATGATGGAAACAGTAATATTAAATTGTTTTTCTTTTTAATCTTTACAGGTTCCTGCACTATCTTGAAGGAATTCACCTTAACATTTCAAAAGAGACTGTGAATACTTTGGCAGCTGGCTTCCCTTAATATTCCACTTAACAGTGCCTTGTACAGATTATTATATGATCCTTAAGATACATTTTTATATTGATTTTCATGGAAGTTTACATCTCTTAATGTACAGACTATGTATATTTTTTATCAGTGTGCAAATATTTAAAATGAAAAAATTTGAGGTACAAATTGTATTTATGATGTGGTATTTTAAAATTTTTTTTTTATTATTTGATTTAGCTTTGTTGGAGTTTTTTTGTATGTGAGTAAGCTATTTCTAGGAGGTAGAGTTCACCAAGATATTTCTAAAGATGTTTCAGTGCTAAACTAATCCATAATTTTTCCCTTCCCTGGTAACTTTAATCCCCCTCTCTCCAACCATGTGTCAGTACTCTGTCAAGTTGTAAATATGAATCTCCTAGGTGAATCTTTTGATTTAAAATAAGAATCTTTTAACTTCCTAAGAAAGAAATTATGTTTCCTTTTTTTCTTTTCAAAAAGTAATATTCTCCTGGTAATTTTATTTCTAATGTACTCTTTCAGCATATTTACCATTGACTATTGAATGCTGACAAAGTAAAATCAAGATTCTGAATTGTAGTTTTCATAAATGTTTTTTAGCAATCATACATGTGATATCTTGTATATTTTGCCAATTCAAATCACATACCTTGTACATTTTTCTTATATTTTTATATCATTGGTGTTTTATTTCATAAAGATATTAATGACGTTAATATATCTACTTTGGACAAGTATTTAATGCTATTCATTAAAACTGTTACAGCTCTGGCCGGTGTGGCTCGGTTGGAACATCATCCCATACACTGACAGGTTGCAGGTTCAATCCTTGGTCAGGGCATGTTCTAGAGGCAATTGATTCATGTTTCACTCACATCAGTGTTTTTCTCTCCCTCCCTCTCCCCCACACCCTCTCAAATCAATAAAAGCATGTCTTTGGGTGAGGATTGAAAAAAAAACATAACAGCCCTGGCCGGTTTGGCTCAGCGGTTGGAGCGTCGGCCTGAGGTCCAGAGAGACCCAGGTTTGGTTCCCGCTAAGGGCATGTACCTCGGTTGCAGTTTGTCCCCGGCCCTGATTGGGTCATGCAGGTGGCAACCACTCGATGTGTCCCTTTCACATCGATGTTTCTCTCTCTCTCTCCCTCCCAATCTGAACAAAAAATGGAAAAATGTCCTCGGATGAGGATAAAAAAACAAAACAAAACATAACAAAGAAGGATTCTACTATGTAATAGCTATTTCCACTTAAGACTGTTTTTGGAGAAAAGATATGTTTTTAATTATAAGATTTTAAAATACCACATTTCACTTAAAATAATTTTTGCAGTTAGATAATCAGGTATACCTGAAAATAGTTTCCTATTTCAAGTGTTTTTATTAGCTTGATATTCAGTGACATTATCTGGTAAATTAACATTTTCAACTGGAAAAGTAAGGATCCTCATTTTGTACAGTTGAGAAATACCTGTTATACCTGCTTTAAATGTGTATGAAAATGTTTTTACTAATTTAACTTACTTTTTCTTGTATTGATAGTATATTGATTTAATTAAACGCTAAAGCTAAAAGGCTTTATCTAGTATTTATATAGGAGTTGCAGATGTAATCATCTGAGTAAATATGGATATTGTATAGGTTTGTATATAGGGTGTAACTTATACAGGTCTTGTCCTGTACAAGAGAATAACATCTCAAAGTATATGGATCTGTTTTTTCTACTGAATATAAGAGTTTACTACCTACAGAGCACTAACTTACCTATTAATTTGGTCTTTTATTATTAGAAAGTTTTGGTAATTCTCAATAATTGAGGAACCAAAGTAAAATAACTCTAGAATTGTAGTACCTTTTTATTTTTTTAGGTTTAACATAATTTGGGGAAAATGTTTTTCTCAGTTCTTAAAGGGGGTAAATTCTTGTTCGATTTAGATTCATTTTTGTGATAAAAATAAGCAAATTTTGAGGACTTGTCGATACTCAGCATCCAAGCCTATAAATGTCTAAAACAGTCACATTTCACTTACAACTATTTCCATAAATATGTGAGAAGTAGAATACCACATGTCTGGCATGAACAACTGGATGGTTGGTCAGGTTATTTACCAAAGTATAAAACAGTAGCAAAGGAGGTGATTTGGAGGAAAGAGAATGGTTTCAGACATGTGTAGTGAGATGTCCACATTTCAAGGTGATGTTTATATATACAGCCATACAGCATGTACTGTAGAGGTTTGCACGTACATGACAACAAATCTACAGTGTACACCAAACTCCTAGGGCGTTACAAGGTGCTGAAAGGGAGGACTTACACTTATTTTATATCTTTATTATTTGAATTTTTTCCAACAAGTATAGTTCACTTTTAGCTTAAAGAAAAGACCTGGGTGCCCTGGCCGGTTTGGCTCAGCAGTTAGAGCGTTGGCCTGCGGTCCAGAGAGACCCAGGTTCAGTTCCCGCTAAGGGCATGTACCTCGGTTGCAGTTTGTCCCCGGCCCTGGTTGGTCGTGCGGGTGGCAGCCACTCGATGTGTCCCTTCACGTCGATGTTTCTCTCTCTCTCTCTCTTCCTCTCCCTCCCACTCTATCTGTACAGAAAATGGAAAAGTGTCCTCGTTGAGGATAAAAAAAAAAAAAAGAAAAGAAAAGACCTGGGTGCCCTGGCCGGTTTGGCTCAGCGGTTAGAGCGTTGGCCTGTGGTCCAGAGAGACCCAGGTTCAGTTCCCGCTAAGGGCACGTACTTCGGTTGCAGTTTGTCCCCGGCCCTGGATGGGTCGTGCGGGTGGCAACCACTCGATGTGTCCCTTTCACGTCAATGTTTCTCTCCCTCTCTACCTCTCTCCTTCCTACTCTGTCTGAACTAAAAATGGAAAAATGTCCTCTGGTGAGCACACACACACACAAAAAAAGACAAGACCTGGGTTCAGTACAGGTGAGAGATAATGAAGGCCTGAACTAAGGCAGATATGGAAAATGGAGAGATGTGGGAAAATAAGCGCTACTTTAATCAAAAGATGGTCTGCCAACTAAAAGATTTCAAAGTAATACAATGAGCCTATTAGGCAAAGCGTGTTTATTCTGGGCTTGATAGATTGAGCTGATTAATGAAAATTACCTTTTGGAGGCAGTGTATGAAGCCCCATTCTAGTTACAGAATAAGAAGAGGATTCCACACGTGTCATCAACTATATTTGGCTTTATTCCCATGATAAGCACCACCCAGAAAACTCATTATTCCTATTTCAGCAATTTTTTTTTAAATCCTCACCTGAGGACATTTTTCCGTTTTATCTTCAGATAGAGTGGGAGGGAGAGAGAGAAAGAAACATTGATGTGAGAGAGACACACCGACTGGTTACCTCCCACACAACCCTAACCAGGGCCAGGGACAAACTGCAACCGAGGTACATGCCCTTAGTGGGAACTGAACCCAGGACTCTTTGGTCCAAGGGCCAACGCTCTAACCGCTGAGCCAGACCAGCAGGGCTGGCAAATTCTTTAGTATAGATGATATTTGCTTTTAAGGGAAGATAACTTTGTTTCTTGTTTCAACAATTTAGGAGGTATCTTACTGTTTAACATACCTAAAAGGTATAGAATCTGAAGATATTTATGGATTTGGCTTTGGCTTACTGTGTAAACCATTAAACAGCCAAAAGTCTGACTTTAAACATTAAATACATTCAAAAGTTTTCTTTTCCACTAACATGGATGTCAAAAGTTGGTTTTTACAACTTTAAAGCTACTAAATGTAACATCACATTACATATTATCAGAATTTTAAGGTTCATTGTTAAATACTGCCATTTCATAGAAGGCAACAGCTTGTAATAATGAATCATATAACTCTTCTATTCTGTGTTGTTCAGTAGATAAAAACATCTGTCTGTACTGGACAATCTTATCTGATGGAAAGAACACCCGAGGCTCTTCCTGCAATACAGACTCCAAGAGGAACTGCTTCACTAGTTCTTTTCCACTAGTCCGAGCGTCACCAACCATCAGTTCAAAGTGCTTCCCCACTGCATTTCGGTTCATGCTCAGCACCTGATGCTGGCCACCCTGGGCAAACGTTGTATTTAATAGGGCATACAGCATGGCTTCCATGATATGCAAATGTAACAGTACAGGAAACAGAGTTGAGTTCTGAAGTGAAAGTCCTGTTTTTTCCAGAACATAGAAGTCAGCTTTAGGCATCTTTGAAATGACTGAAGAAATCTTTAAAAAACAAAACAAAACAAAATAAGTGAGCAGAAATAATTCATTAAGTTTTATTGTTTGTATCCCTGCTCTGTCCCACTTCTATTTTAAAAATAAAATTACATAACTTAATTATATTGCTATTGACAATTTTGAAGGAATTCAAAGAACATTTTATGGGGGAGTCAGGATAACCAAATTCTAGTCATGGTTCTATCAGGCACAAGATGAGCTAAGACAAACCATTTAGTCCTTAGTACTACTTTCCTCATCTGTAAAATGGTCTCATAATTTCTAAGATCTATATTGACTTTAAGATAAGACACGTTAGCCCTGGCTGGTATTGCTCAGCGGTTAGTGTCAATCTACGGACCAATGAATCGTGGGTTCACTGCCAGTCAAGAACATGTATCTCAGTTGTGGTTCGGTCCCTGGCCCTGGTTGGGGTTGTGCAGGAGGCAACCAATCAATGTGTCTCTCTTACATTGACGACGCCCCCCCCCCCCCCCATCTGAAGATAAATGGAAAAATATCCTGGGGTGACCATTAAAAAGTTTTAAAAATTAAAAAAAAAAAAAAAAAAAAAGATTAGACACATTAGCCCGGCCTGCGTGGCTCAGTGGTTGAGCACTGACCCATGTACCAAGAGGTTGCCAGTTTGATTCCTGGTCAGGGCACATGCCCAGGTTGTGGGCCAAATTCCCAGTGCCGGGCATGCAGGAGCAGCCAACTGATGTTCTCTCTCACTGATGTTTCTCTCCCTCTCTCTAAAATCAATGAAGAAAAAAAAAGATTAGACACGGCAAAGCTGTTTTATTAACGTTTTAAAATTTTCTACAGTAAAGCATAGGGCTAGAATGAGTAACCTAAAATCAATCATCTCTACAACTGACTGGTCACATCAAATGCTTGATTGAACCCATTTTCATAGATTAATCAGGATGATAATTATTGCCCATCTCAAAAGCTTTCAAAGACTCAAATGAGACAATAATAGCATTTAAAAAAAATAAACTTTATGAATATAGTAATGAAATTCTATAACATTTAGAATATACTTTACCATTGGTTTTTTTTTTAGTTTCTGCCTTTGATACATAGACATTTCTTGAAATCAATGAAGGATTCAATTTTTAAAAATTCACTAGTGAAGGAAAACAATTGGAATGGGTAACAGTACCAAAAGAAAATCTCTCCTCACTATTTTATTACACTCTTCAGCACTAGTAGATAACTATACAACAATCTTTAACAGGTAGAATTTGGAGGTTAACTGCCTTACCTCTTCTAAATAGACAGATGATATGTATGTTCCTTTCATCAACTGGCAACACTGATTTTGCTGCCAGTCCAGCACTGCCAATTTACGATCAAGGTGAGCCCAGGCAATTCTTCGAGTACCAAAAACAATGGATACGATACTATTAACTGCCTAAAACAAAAAAGGTTCGTTTAATTACAAGTGTAAACATTTTAACAGATATTAAATTTAAGCTACAAACTCAGAAAGTCAAATTACTTTATGTAACAGAAATATATTTACAGTTTATGAACTTAGAATTGTTAAATAAATGCAGAAGTAATTAAAAGGAAACCAGTGTGGCTCAGTGGTTGAGCATCGACCCATGCACCAAGAGGTCGCTGGTTCGATGACCAGTCAGGACACATGCCCAGGTTGTGAGCCCCATCCCCAGTGTGGGGGCATGCAGGAGGCGGCCGATCGATGTTCTCTCTCACTGATGTTTCCATCTCTCTCCCTCTCCCTTCCTCTCTATATAAAATCAATAAAAAAATGTTAGAAAGTTATTTCACCCAGACGTCTGTCTAGTGTCTGACACCTCACAGCCAGAGGAATAAAGAATACAAGTGGAAGAAGGGCCCGAGGGGTACACAGATTTATGCAAAAAGTAACTTGCTTTGTCCTGAGAGCTACAGAGAGCCACCAAAGCATATACGTTTCAGAAACAGCATGGACAGCAGTGTGGAATATGGACCAGAGGAGGCTAGACCAGAGATAGAGCTTTGTATTAGGCACCTGTTATATGATAAAGTATTAAGAATCTAAGACAGTGACAGTGAGATGGACAAGAAACAGAGATAATGGGAGGAAAACTGATATGTGGGATGATCAAGGAGCCTAGGATAACTCCAGTTGTATTTCAGTGGCTTTATGGCATCATTAATGATGATGATCATAGGAGGCGGATCAACTTGGGAAGGTTGGGAAAGGAGTTTGTTTTTTTTATCCTCACCCAAGGACATTTTTTCGATATTTTGTTCAGATGGGGGGGGGGAGGAGAAACATCGACATGAAAGGGGACAAACTACAACCGAGGTACATACCCTTAGCGGGAACCGAACCCAGGTCCCTCCGGACCACAGTCCGACGATCTGACCGCTGAACCAAACCGACCAGGGCATAAGTTGTTTTTTAATGTATTGAGTTCAGGTTGCCTTCTAAGGGGAGACGTGTAACAGGTAACCAGATACATGGATTTAGTTCTGTGCCAAGTCTGGGCTGGAGATATAGTCCAATGGCATTGCTTCACTCCCACATGGCTCATTTAGTTATACTGACAAGTAAATTAACTACAGAGACAGATAAATGGGAACATTTTATAATTCTAGACTCATCTCCCTTTCACTACTAAGGTATGGGGTAAATATCCATTAAAGGCAGAATAATTTGGCCCAGCCAGAGTGGCTCAGTTGTTTGAGCATCGTCCTGTGCACCAAAAGGTTGCCAGTTAGATTCCTGGTCAGGGCACATACCTGGGTTTTGGGTTTGATCCCTGGTGGGGGCACATACGGAGGGTAACTGATTAATGTTTCTCTCACGTCAATGTTTCTCTGTGTGTGTGTGTCTCTCTCTATCTCCCTTTTTCTAAGTATGTCCTTGGCTGAGGATTAAAAAATAAAGGCATGCCCAGCTGGTGTGGCTCAGTGGTTGAGCGTCGACCCATGAACCAAGAGATCACCAGTTCGATTCCCGGTTAGGACACATGCCCAGGTTGTGGGCCTGATCCTCAGTGGGGGGCATGCAGGAGGTGACCAATCCATGTTCCCTCTCATCGATGTTTCTATTTCTCTCTCCCTCTAAAATGGCAACTATTTGATGTTTCTCTTTCACATCAGTGTTTCTTCCTTCCTCTCTCTCTCCAAAAATCAATTTAAAAAAATATATCCTCAAGTGAAAATTTCTTTAAAAATATTTTTTAAAAATACTGTATCAATTAAACATGTATGTTATATATCAATTTTATCTCAAGCTGGGGGAAAAATAATATTTTATCAAGTAATGCAACACAGGACCTAAGTTCCTCCAAGGTTTAATGTTTGATGTGCCAAGTTCTTCTATTTACTTTTTAAGACAACACTGAAAAAGATTTGCTTCTAAATGCCTTTTAAAGTGGATAAGGAGGAGAAAGTAACTTTAAATCCTGCTGGAAAGACTGGTATAATGTTCTCAAGTTGCTCCTTGGCCATTGCCTGAGCATATTTTTCCTTTTATCTTCAGAGCAGGAGAGAAAGAGGGAGAGAGAGAGACAGAAACATCGACCGGAATCGAACCCGGGACTCTTTGGTCTGCAGGCAGACGCTCTAACCTCTGATCCAAACCAGCCAGGGCACAACTTGATTTCTCATTACTGCCAACATAACCGTCAGACTCACAGCCAAATATCTCCTTAACATTCCTTTGAAATAAACCTTGCACAGACCTACTCCTTTACATCACTGTTTTTCTTCCTAGAATGCCCTCCTATTCCAGTTAGCCTAATTCTCTCCCTCAAAGATCCAGATTGAGTTCTTCCAGTAAACTTTCCCAATGGTCACAGCCCACAGTTCTGTCTCCTCTGAACTGCCAATTTACTATCTGTATATCTCTTTGGTACTGATCACATACTACTTTATATAATGGGTTATCTATTAATACGTGTATGTCTGGGCCCTCCAACTAAACTATAAGCTGCCAGAAGAGCCCTGTGTTAGGGCCCAGATTAGTGCTTTGCAAAGTAGGTTCTCAAATATTTAGGAAGTATAAGAGACATTAAGAAAAAAGGATATACCTTAAGTCTCTCTCTTTCTATTTCTGGTTTAATGAGCTTCCTCAGGAGCCGGTTTTCTGGTGATTTTCTTTTTTTCCTTTGCGTCTCTGGACAAAGAATGGAGTTACAAACTTGAACTGTAGTTTTATACTGGAACAAGGGCACATTCATTAAACTCTCCAAATTCTGAAATGGCCCAAACTTTTCTCTGTGCTCTACAATATTGTTGGACTTTCTTCCACGAAGCAATTTAAAAGCTTCAAGTTCTTTATTAGATGCTGTATTCAACACATGCAAGATGGAAGCCTGCTGTTCTGAAGAGAAGAGCTTGTCAAGTGCATTTCCAGACTCCTTTGTGTTTTTGTCACCAAAAGCAACACTGGGAATAATTTTCTTGGATGCAGTGGATTTTTTCCGACAGTAGGAATTATGTAGGGCCTGGAACAAGGACGACCCTAATGATACTGGAAAACATCTCCACCTCCCTAAAAGAAAAATTTTGCAAAATGTAAGTTGGTTGGAATATCCTACTTACTTCCTTAGTGTTAGCTGGAGCCTGACCAGAACCTTTGCAAAGTGACAAAGACTTTCCCATAATGTAAGAACTAGTGAACCATATTACATTCTCCTGGAGAATCATTATTAAAATAAGTTGTTTTAAAAGCATATCTATAAAGAGTTAAATAACAAGGCTTTTTGTTGTTTTTATTCACAAGAGATAGCTCCTGATTTTTATGGACATGTCCTTAATTTTACTACTTAGAAATCTTGCACCCATCAAGAAGCATGGGTTTAAAACAATTATTTCGACCGCTTAACATTTTTGACATTGTTAACTTTAGGGGGATCTGTTGGTAATTAATATTTTCTTAAGAGAATTTATTTCCCCTCCATTTTCACTAGTTTCTTACCCACTGGAACAAAAGAAAATTAAATTTTATACGTTTATTACAAATGTTTTAGCGGAGCGGTAGATTTAAGAGAGGCTTTTATTTTCTTCTGCACACTTTTAAGATTTCTACCATGCTCCTGTTTCTGCAGGCAGAGGGGAACCCACGTAAGAGACGATTTTGTAAAACCAGCGGAGGGTCACGGACATCGCGGCCACGAGAAAGCAATGCAGCCAGGAGAGCAGGGGGCGGGGAGACCGGAACCCTCCGCCCGGCGCCCCGTCCCCGCCGCTCGCGACCCTTCGCCCCGAGAGGCACCGTCGCTCCGGGCTGGGGGGCCCGAACCGCTCCGTCACAGCGAGACCTGGCTGTGGGACCTCAGGGCGGAAACAGTCCAGGGCCAAGGCCAGACGGGAAGTTAATTACCCAGTCGTCCGGGCACCCTACCTCCCGCCTTGAGGACGCTCGAGACGCTCATTTTCCAAGTCAGCGAAGTGCGTCCCACAGTCCAACTTCCTCCGCTAACTTCCGGTGTCTGCGTGCTTCCCCCCCAAAGTGCCCGGCCTTTCCGCGGAAAGACTCCGGCCGCAGCGGCGTTCCGGGGCCCGCGGCGTGTGCACCCTGCGCGGCGGGCGCGCTGGGCTGCGGGCCTCCGGAGGTCCCCCAGAGGCTCCGTGCGGGGATCCCGGGCCTGGGTGGTGCGCGAGACACCGCCTCCGAGACACGTTCTCGCCCCGACCGACCCCTGCTAGCAGCTGAGCCGCATGTCTGGGAGGAAAAGGGCCAGGCCAGTTTTAGCCGGGGACTGGCCAGGTTCCTCCCCGGGGAGACTCCGAGGGTTTATTCTAGACACGCAGATTGATGAGCTCCTACTGGGGCACTGCCCGGGCGCAAAGAGCTGAGTCTGGTGGGGGAGCTTAGACAACAAATCATCCTAATTCCAGGTAGAATGAAATACCTGGGAGAGATGCCAGGTGTTTCGGGGGTGCGTCAGGGAAACGGTGTGCAGGCCCCTAGGGGGTCAGGGAAGCGCGAAATAGGAGGAGGTGGGTTTGGCACTGGGCCTCGACAGTGGAGCATTATTCCTTCAGGGCGGGAAGGAGGAGGTGAGGCCGGCGCCACATTCGGTTGGGCCTTGAATGCAGGGTGGAGCGCCACCAGGTAGTCGGAAAGAAGCCACGAAGGTTTTTGTGGAGTCAGATTGGAAGTGTGTTTCTAGAAAATTGGCCATGTATAGAAGTGTGAGGCTGGAGTGGAGGTGAAGAGGCTGGGAGCAAGGAGAGGAGCTGGGAAGCTGTTGTATCTTCCCAAAGGACCAGCAGCCCTAAGGAACTGAACTTGAGACGTGGAAGGAGAATGGAAAAAAAGGATTCTTGCTAGAAAATGGGGAGACTTTAGGTAGTTTTGTGCAAAACAGGGAAGTCATGAGGAAGGTGGCGTTTGGAGGGAAAGGCGATGGGTTTGTGTTCTTATGAGAGCGGTGCCTGTGTAGACATTGTCCAGGAGACAGTGGAGATGTGAGGAATAGGAAGTATACATAGGAATTACTCATGGGGATTCTCTGAATCCTGCCCATTTCTGGGGAACTTAGGAATCTAACAAGAAATAAAGTCAGCCTTTTGTGCTAAATCCTCCCAATCAGTAGGAAATAATTTTCTCTTAACTCCAGGACTTGTACCACTTAATGAGGTGTTATGAGTTGAATGGTATCCCTCAAAAAGAGACATGGGGAAGTCCTAGTCCTCAGTACCGCAGACTATGACCTCATTTGGAAATAGAGTCATTGCATATGTAATTAGTTACAGTTAAAAATGAGGTCACACTGGAGTGTGGGTGGGGGCTGGTGTCCTTCTAAGAAGATGATCAGATGAGGGCCATGTGAAGACAGAGTCAGAGGTTGAAGTGATGCACCTACAAACCAAGGAAGGCCAGGGATTGCCAAGGGGTCATCACAAGGTAGGAGAGAGACATGGAAGATCCACTCTCATAAAGGACCCCCCGTGCCAACACTTTGACTTGACTTCCAGCCTCCAGAACTCTGAGAAGACATTTCTGTTGGTTTGAGCCACCAAGTCTGTGGTCATTTGTTACAGCAGCCACAGGAAACAAATCTATGAGGCCATGAGGAGCCCTGGTGAGGAATGCTTTCAGAGATGATGTGGTCCATTGTCAAGGTGTGACAAATCACTTGCTACCTGCACAACCTCTGACAGTTTCTCATCCTCCCTGAGCGTCAGCTTCCTCGTTTGTGAAAGAGATAATGACACCTGCCTCACATTTCTTTTCTTTTTAAACATTTTTTTCTTAATTGATTTTAGAGGACAGAGGAAGAGAGAGGGAGGGAGAGAGAGAGAGAAATGTCAATGAGAGAGAACACTTCCTGCATGCCCCCCACTGGGGATTGGGCCCACAGCCTGGACATGTGCCCTGACCGGGAATCGAACCAGCCACCTCTTGGTGCATGGGTCGACGCTCAACCACTGAGCCACACCGGTTGGGCATCACATTTCTACTAAGAGGATTTCTTGCTAGAACCTGGATGCCGAGAATGTGACGTAAAATAGGGGTTTAAGAAATGTTAGCTCCTCATGAAAGCATTGCCTCATCTTGAGAGCCAATTGTTAATGAGCTTCAGGGGAAACACTCTCATTCCTCAGAGTATTCATTCCGAATTACTTTGACCAGAGGCTGGAAGCGGCAGGGAAAGAGGCCACCACTGTGCATGATTTACTGTAAACCAGAACAGAGCCTTCAAAATGAAAGCATCGTCTTCCCCAGAAACCAGCTCCTTCCCACTTCCCTGGTTTTGTTGCCCACATGCATCCGTCCCTGCATCCTCCCACTCCTTCTGTTATTATGTATAGTGCGTTACCTACTTTCTGTTTTTAAAGGATTTTTTTTTTTACCATGACTCAGGATGCAGAAATGTACATGTAAAACAACTGCTTCATTAAAAAATACTTGTGTTTTCACATATGATGCACCTTGATATTTTCCATTTCATGATTTAAAACAAACAAACACAAAAGCCCTGACCGGTTTGGCTCAGCGGTTAGAGTGTCAGCCCTCAGACTAATGAGTCGCAGGTTCGATTCCGCTCAAGGGCACGTACCTCGGTTGGGTTCATCCTGGCCCTGGTCAGGTCATGTGGGAGGCAACCGGTTGATGTGGCTCTATCACATCGATGTTTCTCTCTGTCTCCCCCTCCCTCCCACTCTGTCTGATGATAAATAGAAAAGTATCCTCGGGTGAGGAATAAAAAACCCAAACAAACAAAAATGCAAATTAATTCATTTTTAAACCTACACGACATGCCCAGCCAGTGGTTCAGTGGACTAAGCATTGTCCTGTGGACTGAGAGGTCCTGGTTTGATTCCTGGTCCGGGCACATGCCCGGGTTTTGGGCTTGATCCCCAGTAGGGGGTGTGCAGGAGGCAGCCAGTGGTTGTTTCTCTCTCACATTGATGTTTCTATCTCTAAAAAAAAACAACAAGCCAATAAAAACATATTAAAAATAGATAAATAAAAATAAACCTGTATAACATCAGGTGGAGAGGCCTAGGAGACAGAGGTGTGAGTCCTGAAGCTAAGGGAGAGGACTGTGCTGGGTATAGATTTGGAGGCCATGGGCACAGAGAGACAGCACTTCCTCTCGTGAAAATGCGCGGGATGAGCCAGGGAGGAGGAGTGTGAGAAAGCACAGCGAGTGAGGGAGAGAACTTGGAGCAGCAGTATTGGGGGCGAGTAGAGGCTCCAATTCCACACCGTCTCACCTCTGTCGCTTGGCACCTGCTGGTCCTTTACTCTTAGATGCTCTTTCCTCAGAACGGTATGAATTCTGTTCACCTTTTAAGTGCCAACAAGGGTACCCCTGCCCCAAGAAAGCCTCCCTGGCTTCAAAGCCAGACAGCCCTCTCCTGTTTCTCAAGCACTTCATTCCCATCTCTTTCCTAACATGTATTGTCTTTTATTTAAAAATATGTTTTTATTGATTTTTAAATTTTTTTTTTGAGAGTAAGAGGAAGAGAGAGATAGAAACATCAATGTGAGATAAACATTGATCGGCTGCCTCCTGCACACTCCCCACTGGGGATCCAGCCAGCAACCAGGGCACATGCCCTGATCGGGAATCCAACCACCGGGGACCTCTCAGTCCATGGGACGATGTTCCATCCTCTGAGCCACACCGGCCAGGCCAACACATTGTCTTGAACTATGGTTTTTTTTGTTTTGTTTTGCTTTTGACTTCATGTGTTTGCCCCCTTATTGGACTCTATACATTTTCCCCAAATTGATCTGTTAGCTACCAACTAGAATATATCAAAATTTCATTCCTGGTGTCTCAACATTCCTCCTGGAGACAGAGGAGCTCAGTGACTATGATCAAACTCTATGATCAAATCAGTCAATCCTGTGTTTTAATCCTGTGTTCCAATGTCAGCATCCTAACAGTGTGAACCAGGGCAAGTGATGTCACTGCCCACAGCCCCTTCAGAACCCTCTGGAGTGTGCAAGTGCATGAGGGATACAGGCCACAACCATATCCCCCATGTTACCCAGCACATTGCCTGCCGCATAGGGGGATTCATTAAGTATTTGTTTTAAAAAAAAGAATGATCACATATATAACATCTAGAAGGTTAATTTTGGTTTGGGAAAAACATTAAAAATTGTGCTTCATAACTTCCTGACCTTAACATAGGCAAGCTTTTCTAAAACTTGACATGAAGGCATTACCTATAAAGGGAAAAAAATAGATAAACTGGACCTTATTAAAGTTAAGAGTATTTGTTCACTATGTAAAAATAAAATTAATATAAATGGAGCCACTTTAAAATGGAGTGGGATCCAGCCGGTGTGGCTCAGTGGTTGAGTGTCAACCCATGCACCAAGAGGTCGCCGGTTCGATTTCCGCACAGGACACATGCCCAGGTTGGGGGGCATGCAGAAGGCAGCCAATCGATGTTCTTTCTCATTGATGTTTCTATCTCTCTCTCCCTCTCCATTCCTCTGTCTCTAAAAACAATAAAAGGAAATTACATAAAATGGAGTGGGAGCTGCCATCCCAGAGGAACTGCCTTGCACATCTTACTCCTCAGACCTTTGAACTGGGCCTAAAGCAACATTGTGTCCCAACAACTGTTGCAAAGAAAACAAGAAAGCAGATATTGTGACAACCAGACTAATGACTGAACTGAAAATTTAAAACATTGTTTAGAATGATTGTCACTATGTTAGCTTATCTGCACCCATAGAAATACCTTCCTTCTGTTGATGGAATTGTTCCCCTCCCCTTTCTCATAAATATCCCTCGCTTTGGCTCCTAATCGGAACGCTCTGGGCTCCTGCCTGAGTCTGTGCTTCCTGAATAGCTGTTCTTTTCCGATTTCAAATAAATGCTGTTTTTTGGCCTTTTCTTTTTAGGTTAACAATGAAAAGGCACCAGTGAAAGGGCAAGCAACAGAGTGAAAGATGGTA